TCAAGTGTTTCCCCTACTAAACAAGAAGCCTCTTTTGGAGTTATTTCTTTAGCTTTAACCTTTATCAACTACAATCTTTTGGCAAAGAAGTCACCTAAGCTTTTGCTGATGTAAATTAGAACTCTTGAATTCAAACTGCTCATTTCAGGTATAAACTTTATCTTTTATTCTCCCCAGTAAGAAATCTGGAGATACGCTATATTTTATTTTGGTTTACTATACAGCATTACATTGTATATTCATGCTGTATAATATTGTGTGAATAAACCATAGCTTATTTATCCATTTTACTGTTGATTAGCATTTGGGTAATGTTACGAATTCATGAAAAAAATAAAGTATTATATAGGTACTCATATGCACACAATCTGTTGAAGTATGATATACATACAGAGAAGTGCACGTATTATAATAGTACAGCTTGCTAAATTTTCACAAGTTGACTTCAAGTGGGCAACCAGCACCAAACGCCAAGAAGAAGAACGTGACCAACTCTCCAGAAGCTCTACTTATGGCCCCTCCCAGTTATTAGCCACCATCAGGGTAACCACTGTCACGATTTCTGATAGCATAAATGAGTTTTGCCTGTGTCTTGCTTCTTTTGCTTAGCATTATACCTATGAGATTTGCATTTGTTACTGGATTTAGAAGCAGATTGTTCACTCTTAGTGTTGTACAGTATTCTGTTATATAAATATATCACCAATTATCCATTTTACTGTAAATAAACATTCAGATGGCTTCCAGTTTGGGGGTTATCATAACTAGTGCTGCTCTGAGCTGTTTAATAGATATCGTTTGGTATACATCTGATATTGGTATATTCCTAGGAATAAATTGTTAGGCCATAGAGTTTCCATATGCTTAAATTTAGTAGATATTGCCAGTTTTCCACAGTAGGTGCACTATATACATAGCATTTGATTACTTGAGGAATCATTCTGAGTAAAGAATTTCAGCATAACCATTAGGAGAACAAATTTTAGAGTTATTCAGGCCAAATCCAGCTTATCACTAAACAGCTAGCTATGCCACTTATGCATAACCATGTCAAGCCTCAGTTTATTCCACTGTAAAATAGGTATGATAAAGTTAGATATTATTTTAATGCAACATAGAACAGTACCTGGCATACAGTCAGTGCTTAGCTATGGTGGTTATTAATCACTAGCTCTTACAACCTAGACAACATGGAGAATTAGAGACAAATATGGGCAATATCATTCACAATTTTCATTCTCTGATGGAAGGAAATTGAAACTCTGACCCAAAAGGCATTACCAATTCTAGTGAGCATTACACTTGGACCCTGAAAAAATACATTTAAACATGATCCCAAAATGCATTTGCAAATTACTGTTGCCAGAGGCAAGGTTCTTGAATGCAGTGTATTACCATCCATTTTTTCCCCCTACCAGACATTACTCTTTAAAGACAAGACTGCCAAGGGCTACTCTGGAAAGTCACTAATATTATTATACTTTTTATTATATTTGCCAATTTCACACCTTCCTCAAACCAACCCCCAAATTTGTTGAGAAGCGACTGTAATTGCAAAATTAGTTATTAGTTTTCCTTGAAACTTACCAGTTTCTACAGTATCTTCCACAATCCTAAGAATCCTAAAAATGAGCCCAGATCATTGCTTTAAACTGCAAAGAACTTGCCTTTTTAATAGACACAAACTTGATAACTTCAGCATAGATTTCAGCAACTGATGGGACAGCATCCTAAAAGTTAACACAAATGTTACACTTAGTGCAGAGATACTGTTTTAGCTTATTGCTGGGGGTGGGGGGAGGGGCGGCACAGACAGTTTTCTTAGGTATCTCCTTTTGGAAGGTGCACCGTGTTCCTAGTAAGTTCAATCACATCTCGTACATCAGTCACTAGTTCTCAATAAATAAAGCACACAGTCTACTAGAAAATATCGCATCTTTTGAGGTCAGTGGTAGACCTGGGAGGGCACTTTTTGAACATTTAATTGAAACTCTTCGATTTACAGACGAGAAGACTAGTCATTTAAGAGTCTTGCCTAAGATCAAATGGTTTGTTCCCTGGACAGGCAGAAAGTTCAAGTCTTACTCACAGTTCAGCGGTTGCTCCTCTTTGCTCTTGTACAATGGCTCCCACCATCCTCCCTTCCCATCCCTGACCTCGATTTCGTAAGGATCCAGACCTGGAATCTAGAATGGGGACGCTGAAGAATGTGACTTAAGGGAATGAACAATCATTAAATTGTTGTCAGAAAGTGCAAGATGAGTGAGGCTTGTTTGCTAGAATATAAGATTGCAAGAAGAGAGACCTTTTCCGTTTTGTGTACTATTGTCGTCCCAGTACCTAGAACTGTGATTGGTACAGAGTAGGCCCTAATAATTGTTACAGAAATGAATGCATGAATCAATGAATCTTGGATATGTCACGTTGTCAGATAATTACTGCTTCCTCTACCATCTTCTTCCAGTAATACAAAAAATTAAAAGTGCATTTTTAGATTCTAAAGAGAAGTCATATACAAGGGTTTGGTATGTGCCTAGTCCACTGTGAGCAATTAACAAATGTCAGATCACTCCTTTCTTCCTCCCTAAGTATAAGTTACTGGGATAATGGGTGATGTGTCACAGTGTTTAAGTGCTTGGATAGAGAGTGAGGCTAGACCTAACTGGCTGGTGAGAAAGGGCTGTTGGCGTCTTCCTCATCTTTGTAAATAAATTCCAGTGCCCCGAAAAAGACATATTTTACCCCGAAAGGCTAGACGCTTTCCTTGTTCGCTTCTGGGCTGCAGTAAATTTTTAAGTACAACTTTTTTTGTAAGCATCAGCTACGTTGCGGCGAGAGGATCGGCAGCGATAGGAAAAGCGAGGAAGACCTTCTCCTCACCCAAATTACAGGTAGCTCCCCAGGATGGGGACTGTCTTTTGCTTGACCTGGCCCCTCCAACCCCGCCCCCTCGCCCGCGGAGGCTTCCGAGGTTCAAGTTCGGTCCCCTAGCCTCGCGCCGCTTGCTCCGAAGTCGCCCGCGCGTCCAAAGGACTCCCGTTTGAAGGCGAAGAGGGTCCAGAGGTCATTAGGATGCGAGGTCACTTGACTACACGTTGTGCTACCACGTGGGAAAAAGTTTCCAACTCTGTCTGTGGGGTCTCCCAGTGCCCCCCAGTGGAGCAGAGGCCTGCGCTTCGGCACCCGCTCCCTTGCGGGTCGCCTCCAGGCGCGACCCCTTCCCAGGGAAGCCCCCTTATGCCCCTTCTCTGAAATCCCTCCTTCCCTCGCTGCGCAGGTCACCCAGGGCGAGTACTTTGTGTGTGTGGGGGAGGGTGGGGGGAGTGGGGGTGTCTCCCAAGACGGCAGTCGGGGCGCCTCCGGAGGGCCTTGGGTAGGGGGTCGAGAGACAAGTGTCCGGAGGAGAGTGCAAGGGGGTGGGGCGCGGAGCTCGGAGTAGACAGGGGACAGTAGTCCCCACGCATCCCCAGTGCGACCGGCGGGATCGTTTCACGATTTCCACACCCTTGCGCGACAACTCTGTGGGACCACAGCGAACCCTACAAGCGTGGTCCCTTCTACAACCCCCACCCTACCCTGGCTGCCCACTCCCGGGACCCCTCCCCGCCCCCAGTGCGCAGGCCCGGCCGCCCCAGCGCGCATGCCCTGGGCTCGCGAACGCGGCCAGCCCCCAGCCTTTTGCTTTCTACACACTCTACAACTGGGGAGGGGGCGGGGGAGGAGGGAGCCCAGTCGGCCACGTGATCAGCCGGTCGGGGCCGCGGGGGCGGGAGCGCGCGCCGAGCGAGGCGCGGGGAGGGCGGGTGCGCGTGCGCGTGCGCGGGCTTGGGCTGAGGCGGGCGGCGGCGGTGGGCCGGCCGCGGAGGGGGAGGAGCGGGAGCTGAGTGAGGCGGACGGGCGGAGGATGGGGCCGTGCCCGGGCTCCCGCTGCAGCCGCCGGGAGACACGCCGTGCACCCTCCGGTTCTGGGCTCTCGCGGCAGCGGTGGTAGCGTTAGCGGCGGCAGCGGCGAGAGCAGCGTTCCCAACGCTTCCTGGCCGCTCTTCTTCCTCGGGCTGGGCGAAGCAAAGAGGCAGCGGCGGCGGCAGGAGGCGGTGGCGGCGGCACACCAGTGTCTCTCCCGCTGGAGATTTCTTTCTGCTTTCCTCGTCGACGGACTCACCCCCTCTCTTTTTTGAGGAAGGGTGACCTCTTCTCTGGGACTGGAAAAAAATATTCTTTTGAGGAGGGGGGTGGGTGGCAGCGTCAGGGTCTGCTTCTTCTCTTTTTTCAGCTCCCCCTCCTCCCCCCTCCAAGACCGAAAAGCAAACCCCACAACTGCTCCAGCATCCTCCTTCCCTTCCTCCACCTCCCTTTTCCACCTCTCCCAGTTTCGCCCTCTCCTCTCCTAATTATTTCATTATTATGCTTCCCTCTCTGGGGGGTCTCATCCCTCTCAGGTCGCTCAAAAGCCTCCCCTGGATGCATTTCTTAAAAATTTGGGAGCCTGGGAGTGAGTTTCCTCCGAGGCGTGTGTGAGAGGCGGCGGGGGTGTTTTCCTGTGCGAGGGGCGGGTGAAGTTCATTGCCCCCACTTTCCCGCGACCTTTTCGACCCGATTTTGACTCGGGGGGCAGGCGTTTTCTGGGGCCAGGGGCGCGGCAGAGAATGGCCGCGGGGAGGGCTCCCCGGAGCCTCCTAGTCTCTTGATCAAAGCATTCCGCTATTCTGATTTATTGCCTGCTTGGTGAGTTATTTTTTTTTTTCCTCTAAAGGAGACCTGTGTGTTCAGCCATTACTTTGCTCGGCGCCGCTCACAGGAATCTCCGACCCTCGGTGCCGTGGGCAGCCCAGCACTTGGGCTTCTCGCCTCTAGCCCTCGCTCCTGTCCCTCCTCCTTCTCTCCGCCCCTTCCCCCTTTTCTTTCTCCTCTCTTTCTTCCCCTCTCTCCCTTCTTTCGGCCGCCGTCTCCCCCGCGCCCTCCTCGGGGCGGAGGGAAGCCGAGAACGGGGGAGGGAGGGGTTGGTGTCAATTTTTTTGTGTGGCCGCGGCTGGAGCCTGTGGCGGGCAGGCGGCGAGCGGGGAGACCCCGGCGCGGCAGAGCCATGGATGGCCCGACGCGGGGCCATGGACTCCGCAAAAAGCGGCGGTCGCGGTCGCAGCGAGACCGGGAGAGGCGCTCCCGGGGCGGGCTGGGGGCTGGCGCGGCCGGTGGCGGCGGCGCCGGCCGGACCCGGGCGCCCTCGCTCGCCTCGTCGTCGGGCTCCGACAAGGAAGACAATGGGAAGCCCCCGTCCTCCACCCCGTCCCGGCCCAGACCCCCGCGCAGGAAGCGGAGAGAGTCCACCTCGGCCGAAGAGGACATCATTGATGGATTTGCCATGACGAGCTTTGTCACTTTTGAAGCGCTGGAGGTAAGGGAGACCCCCCTCCCCCTGGTTTTCTTTATGCACGACCCCACTCGATTGCACCCGGCTCTGCTGCTTTCCCCACTGCGCTCTGGCCGGTCTGTTTGTCTGTCTGTCTAGCCTGAGGTCTTATTGTTGGGGGGTTGGGGGAGCTGGGGGCGCGGGTAGACGGTCAGCAGGAGGGAATCGCAAAGCCATGCCTGTTCTCCTGGTTTCCTCGTTCTGCTCGCCTTTCCCCTGCGCCCCCTCCCTGCGCCCCCTCCACAGCAGATGGGCATATAGAAAGGGGTTCAGGCATCACAACAATACGCCCCCCTCCACGGATAGCTCTGTCCCTACTCTTCCTCCTCTGCCTCCCAATCATGGCTTCTTGGCTGGTGGAAGTCTCTTTGCTGGGTTTGGGGCGCCTGTGGACGGTTTTTCTACAGAACCATATGTCCGTGTGTGTGTGTGTGTGTGTGTGTGTGTATGTGTTTGTATAGTATATACCTTTCCTGGTGTTCTCGGAACTGGAGACTAATGGGGTTTTGTGGTTCTCTGCCCCCCTCCCTGCCTTTCCCCCACCCCCCTGGTGAAGCTGGGGAAGGGGGCGTTTTCTTCTGGTTGGGAGAAAGGAGGGAGGAGGGGAGAGCATAGAGGAAAGGATGGAGATATCTTTCTGTATTCTGTAAGGGGCTCTATTACAGAAAGGGTTAATTTTAATATCTGTGCATATATGTGTGTGTATATGCACATGTGTGTGTACACGAGCATTCTGGTTAAAGGATAGAAAAAAGGTGCACCAGAGAGGACTGGTGGGAGGAAAGAATATAATCCTAGCTGGTATCTGAAGGGCTTGTCACCCAATTGTCCCTCTCCCTTTCCTTTTTTTGGTGTTTTCTTTTCTCTCTTTTTCTTTCTGATTGGCTTTGTGTGTGTGTGTGTGTGTGTGTGTGTGTGTGTGTGTAAGTCTTTATTCCTTGGGCACCTGCAGTGTTAATTTACAAATGCACATTTTCCTGCCCTCTAACCAGCTACTGGGGAAGGGGGGTAGGGGAGTTAGAGAGAGACTGTCCAGGGGATCAGGAGGAAACTGTCTTTACCTGGAAGGATCAAATTTGGTGCTGACATGGGTTATTGGTCTCTATAAATGTAACCCCTTTTTTCTCCCCCCACCTTCGTTTCCCGGCCCGACCCCCAACACACCACACCACACACACACACACACACACACACACACACACACACACACAGAATTTGAGATTCTGCAGAGTTGGTCCGGCTTTTCTTAAGCACAAAACCAAGATAGTTGCTTTCTAGCCTTTCGTGCACCTGATATGGTGGTTAGAGGTTCCTGAAGGAAACTTTTTCCTTTCCCTGTGATTTTTTGCTCTTATTATGGTATTGTTTGAGGTGATCAGATACAACCTTTGTTAATGACAGCTTAAATCACACATGCAGTAACAGTACAGGTTTAGGTTGCTGGTTCTGTGTGTGTGTTTGGGTGTCAGGTTGAAATATTTTTTTTAAAAAGGGAGCCAAGGTTGTTTTTTCCCATTTGAACTGCTTTTTGGTTGGTCTGCTGGTGGTGATGGTCGTGGATGGTGGCCTGTGGTTGGGGAGGAAGGGAGGGGGGCTAGTGGTATTGGTGATCATAGATTTTGATGTTAGTGATTGAATCAGTTACCCTTTGGTTCTAGATTTGGTGCTTTATTGGCTAAAATGGATCTTACACAATTGTTTTGAGTTGAGGCTCACCACTTATAAGGATAATTCTGTGGCTTCAACTTTGCCAGGATGGGAGGGTACTGCACTGTGTGACCTCTTTCTCTCAGTCTCTCTCGATTTAAAATAGGAATTGAAATAGCAGCATGTATACTAATAGAAAATGCTGCCTAGAATTTGGTTCACCATTGCTATCTGTGGTAGATTAGGACAATACTTGAAAAATCTGGTTACAAGTGGTTCTGCTTCTTGTATGGTTACCCTGAGCTGTCCTGTGGCCCTTCTCACTAAGCAAGAGGAGCCACGAATTCCCATGAACATTTTTGAAGGCCAAGTGGAGAGAGATATAACTTACACAGTTATTTTTGATCATTTTTACTCTTAGTAAATAAATATTTGCCTGGGCTTGTGATGTATATATGTATCTATTTGGCATTTGAAAGAATATGCACCCTTCTAGTTTCTTTTGGGTTTTAAAAAACTTAATTTTTAAAGAAGACCAAGTTCAAGTGTACCATTAACACTGTTTCTTTTCTTGCTGTGATTATTTTTCTCTGCTACTTTTCTAGCCTCAAAACCTAGGTTATTTTGATTAGCAGAATACTATACTACCTTCATGTCTAAATATCATTTACATATCTGTATGTGGGTCTAAAACATCTAACTTTCAAAAAAGTTTTCTTAAAACTACATAGAAAAATTTAAACATATGCAAAAGTAGAGAGAACAGTTTGATAAATCCCAATGTACCCACCACTGAGGTCAGCAACTACCAGCTCATGTCTCATCTTTTTTCATCTACATCCCATTTATTTGCTCCCCTCTCCCAGATGTGATATGAGAAATATATAAATATTTCTGTATGTATCTCTAAATGGTAATGACTTGAAACCCCTCAAAACCCCATAGTACCATTATCACATCTAAATAAACAATAGTTCCCTAATATCATCAAATATCCTGTCAGTGTTCATTTTTAAAATACCTAGCTTTTGTAGGAAAGCAGTAAATAAACTTTACAGACTGAAAACACAATGGAGAATAAAAACCATCATGTATGTCTGGTTCTATGAACAAAAGTAGAGCTGTTTGCTGTACATCTGTGTCCATGCTAGATGGTCAAACGTGTGTGTAGTGATCAGGAAGATAAATCCTACGTGTGTGCTCATTTTGGAAGATTTACTCAACTGTCACCGTGCAATGTGAGGGCTTATTAGGAAACAGGCAACTAAACTGTGGACTTGGATAGAAATGTATGTGACAGGAGTGCTTATGAAAGTTCAGAATTATTAAGATGCTAAGAGGACCCTAAATACATACTATAGTATTGTGCTTTGTGTTTAGAAATGAAAACAATTGTCACCATGTAATATTGAGGCTGCTGCTACTGTGATGTTATGGTAAGAAACCAGAAATGTTGACTTGTACAGCTAGGCTGGTTCCTTATGCCAGTTCAGAGCAATAGCAGGCAAACTGCGGAGTAGCATACTTTGGGTATTGTTGATGGACACATTGATTTTGACTTTTAAAAAAGAGGCTGCTAATTAACTCATAGTGAAATGCTGATATAAAGTGTTCTGGTCCAATTGTGGTTTAGTAAATGCTGGAGCAAAAGTAAGAACCTTGCCTGACGAAAACCAGCATTTTTATGTTGATTATTTTTTCACTGTTGGATATTTATTTAAGATGATGAAACTTTAGTAGTAGCTTCAGAAGCCTGCACTTTTACAGGCAGTGAAGCTGGCTGAGGTAGTTTCATATTCTGCAGGGACACTTGTCTTGAATAATTGTGCCCCGAAGTTCAAGTATGTGATTGTGAAGAGTCTCATGATAGAAGATAAGAGGGTAGGTGAGGAGGCTAAAGTTGAACATGGTGTTATTTTCATTAGGCATTTGAGAAACAGAATTAGCATTTGGATATGATATTGCTTATTTGGATATCTTTGAATAATAGGTTGAGAGTGACTATCCCCAGATGGCATGTCTCATTTTTAAAAAAAGTGGCTTCTAGCAAACAAAGTATGGATGGAAATGGTGGGGTTCTAGTACTGTCAGTATACCCCAATATGCCATATAATACTGCCTTTCTGTTTTTATTTGGGTTTCTTTCTTTGTAGTCTCAATTAGTAAGCCATGTGGGTACTGCCACTGAAAAATTGACTTTGCACATCCATTATTTTCCCCCTCACTCCTCTGTTGTACACTGTTCTTAGTGCAACCTCCTTTTGTACATCTGACCGAAGGGAAGCAAAGATGAAATTGGTGTGATTAGCAGACAGGAGGCCATTGGAGTTTTGCGGGCTTAGGAAAACTAAGAAGACTCATTTCTGGTGAGTATAGGATCAAACCAAGACTTTAATGTGGTCTTTATTTCCTAGCTTGGTTTCAGCGCTTATTCTGAAACACTACACATCAATAGCATAAATAGGCTGTACAGAATTTGTACTTAGGTATGCCATGTTAATAGGCTGTAATAATTTATTATGTCAAATCTCACTTATTCAGTTGTTTGAAAAAACAACATTAATCATGTTCCTTGTATCAGTCAGTAAATATTTATGGAGTGTTTGATATATGCAAGGCACTAGAAAGAGTACAGAGAAACCTAAAATATATGTAATATCTTTGGGGAATGTGCAGTTTAGTTGATAAATTAAGTCCTGCACCTACAAAATAATTTTGAAATAGGTGTTAGAATGCCAAATACCAACTAAGTGTACTACGCTTTCAGAGAATGGGGTATTGAGTGCCATTGCCTGAAGTACTTGAGAAGGCTTCCTGGAGAAGATGGAACCTAAAAGGTTGAAGTGATTTGGGTAGATAGAGAAGGAATGCAGGGTAGAAAGAGCATTCTAAGAAGAGGGAATAGTGAAGGAAGCACAGAAAAAAGAGTGAGAAAACGCAATTTGATTAGGGCTTGGGGGCAGGGATGGGCTGGTAGATGAGTACAAAATTATGGAAGTAAAGAGTGCTTGTTAGGGAGTCAGGAGACCAGCGAAGAAACACAGTCCAGGCCTGGCTGTCCTAGCTATTTGAGTGACCTTGGGAAGTTACTCTAAAAGCATCATTTTCTTAATCCATTAGTTGAGAGGTTTAGATTAGTTTTAGAGCAAAGGTGCTCACACTGGGTGGAAACATAGCTTTGCCAGATGTTCATGGGTTGTTTCAGACCAAAAAAATGTGATCTGCCCTCAAATAGTTTTGGAACTTGATGGGCTAGACAAAATTAAAGGGTAACTTGTTCTGCCAGAATTAAGTCTTTTATTATATAAATGCGAGTTTTGAGTATCAGAGAAGACCAT